CACGTAGTGTCGGAATATCCGAGGCCGAGCTAGGGGAACAAGCACCGCTGATTTTTCGCCAGATTCATCAATCGTTTCGCCAGACTCCGGAGACCCAGGGTAAACTCGGTGAAAAACAAAGTGACCCAAAAGCGGAGTCATCACTCTGTTGACCGTCCACGTAAGTCACTGATTTCATTACTTTCAAATTTCCCTATATAGTTATCTATCGTGGACGTAACAATAGCTTCAACATTTCTGCATTAGGATTTTTTTTCACCTCAGGAATCCGTCTTTAAGAGATAATGCGGTAGTGACGGGACATCCTGTATATTTTAAATATGTTTAATCTTTTTTTCAGAGAAAATAGGACAAAATAGCTTAAAATACTCATTTTAAATGTAAATTGCAAAAATATTGATTACGCAAATGCAGGTATTGTAGCATTGAAAGCATGGAAAATATTAAAATTAGTCGTTTGCCTCTCGCATTGAGTAAAATTAATAATTTATTGAAAACAATGTTTAACCTGGGATTTACTGACTATATTTACGAATACTGTAACGTATTATTAATGCGCTCTATTAGAATGGTGAAAATACAACTACGTGTGTGTATGTGTCTGGGCATTTTTGTACGCCAAGACGTTGGATATAACGCAGAAATTTGTGTGCGCGCAAAAGTAACATCATCCTTTAATTACAACACTTTTCCGTTCTCGTATATGATTAATGTATTTGCGCGTTATCTCGCGATAACGATGTCTTCTCAAACAACGTTAACGCTAACGTTATTACGGGTATTCTGTGAGTAATAATATGGCAGAGAATGGCACTCCGTGTGAATGACCAATTCAACGAACACGATAGATTCGATTAGATATAAGAGAGACCTTTTGCAATATCGATGTCTTACATACAGAAAACACTAAAAGTCACATAAATGATTGAATGCAAATTCATGATGAAAGCCATAATTCACAGCCGCATTCTCTGGAATATATTTATTTACAACGTGCGAGTCTAGCGTTTACAATTATTATCTGACATACGGTATTGCAAAAACTCGCTAACGGCAAGTATATGAGAATGAAGAATGAGTCGGATCAAACTAACAAGTTTGGTAGAAAAATAAAAGTAGAAGTCAAGAATATAGTTGCCTTCTGATTACAGGGAGAATGAATGTAATATAGTAAGCAGGGAACTGCGATCAGTGTAAGAAATTTTTTATTTCAATCCGATTCACTCTACGATCTCTTTCCTTTTCCTAGTTATCACTGTTATAATTACATGTTACGTAAATAATTTATCGCTTATTTTTTCGCGATACGGGATTCCGTTTATTCATGTTTGCTGTGCATCGTACGTCTCTCTCTCCTCTCCCCCTCTCCCTCTTCTTCGTCCTCTCTCCCTTTTTTCTCTCTCTTTCTTTTGGCATTGAATCAAGGCATTTGAATGGTGCATTTAAATATGACAAATTCAGTGACATAATTACATTTTTATCAGACTTGAAAATAAAATTTCTAATTACATCGAAACAACGAATAACAAATTTCGCGAGATTGAAGAAAATTTTAACGAAAAATGAAATTGCATAAGCCCAGCAATCACTGTCACTATCGCTACGCCCTTGACTATTTTGTATGCTATAGGTTTGTCGAGTTACTTGTATATTCACACTTTTATACCTAATGCCTGTTGTACACTAGTGCACCTCATACAACACAAATTTTCCAAAATACGTTCTGAAGATGTTTTTAGGACGGAGGGATGTCATCAGAATATTTTTAGGACGTCCTTTGAAGATGTGAGGTGTCTGAAAATAGCTAATATCTAATAAGTTTATTCACATTAATTGAACTTTTTACACTTTCATACTTAGTACACATTAATTCTTTAGAGGTTCTAAAAAGACGTCATGATTTCCGTTCGTGTTACGAGTGTAAATGCAATTCTAATACACTTTTTACACTTGATCCCAAGCAAGAGTGAAAAGTGTATCAGAATTGCATTTACACTCGTAACACGAACGGAAAACATGACGCCATTTTTAGAACCTCTAAACATTAATGTGCACTAAGTGTGAAAGTGTAAAAAGTTCAATTAATATGAATAAACTTATTGGATATTAGCTATTTTCAGACAATTCACACCTTCAAAGAACGTCCTAAGAATACTCTGATAACGTCTCTCCGTCCTGAAAATGTCTTCAGAATGTATTTTGTGTTTGAGGTGTACTAGTGTGCAACGAGCATTAGGTGTAAAAGTGTGAAAAGTACAAGCAACTCGAACAAACCTTATAACGCGCGCTAGTCGCGTGTAAGGATGGGCAAAAAGAATCGATGTTCGCTCATTGAGGATGGTATTACATGTAGAGAGTCGTGCACCGATTGGCTGTCGAATAGAGAATTTCTAGAGACCCTAACATTTTCTCTACATGTAATACTATCCTCAATGAGCGAACATCGATGTTTTCTAAACATCGATTTTTTTTTGCCCATCCCTAGTCGCGTGCTTTTCAGTGTGCCCTCGATATTTTTCCTAAAGAATCACGTCACATATGAACAGCTATTCTCGCCATTCAACGTACCGCTACCCGGTAACAAGTACATAAATACTTATCGCTTATTGCGGAAATTAATCCGCGGTTACACAGCCAGTGTTAAACTTAGTTGTTCGTAATGTAATACGCGTACGTAATATCAATCAAGCTTATCTTTTTATGTCTGGGCAGATCCATATGTGCCAATTGGTGGTCGGTAAAATCGAGGCAGCGTCAGAATCTGCAAACTGTTGAATGCATATTTCCGCACACCAATGTTTTTCCATGTGTTCTCTCGTCGGCAACCCTCACTGAAACAGCGAAAAAGTCAAAGTTCAAATAGTTTATACTATCGAATAGTTAATACTAGAATTTAAGAATCTAGTATAAATAACATAAAAAGTAAGAGACATGTTTAAGAGATGTTTAATTCTTCAAGAATGCACTTTTTTAAAAAATTAATCTGATAACCATTTAGTATTTTAATTTAAAGCAGTGATGTTCGAAGTTCTCATTTGCTTCGGGAAATAATGTCTGGAAGTCTTTTTTTTAGGGAGCTTCTTATATGAAATATTTGCCTTGTCTACAATTGTTTCGCAAAATATTTTCTTTTTACTGTTTTCGCACTTACCTTCGCATACAATCGAGAGCCTTCATGTACTCGTGTTCAGCCAGATGATATTCCGACGAGAGTATATTAACCTGCTCTAGGGTGATTGACATACCGGTTCGATCTTTTGCGCTCTTGCAACTGGTAAATCTCAAGCCACGCATCCTTCGACATATCTGCGAGGATAACTGCAAAATCTCTACGTTTTTGTTCACTTTTTCTTGGACACACATTTTCAAGTTGGCCATCATATCGGACAATGTGTGGCCTAAGATCGATCTAGCGGCAACTGCAAAAAAGTTAATATATTTGTTTTAGAACCTGTTATAAAAAAAGGAGTAAACTAAATAATACAAAAATCTAAGAGACGTTAAAAAAAAAGTATCTAAAACATTCAAATCTTCTTGGATTCTTTGTATCTTCCAGAAATTTCTATTGTCAGTAATAAAGAAAAAAAATAATATAAAAGAGAAAAAAAGAAAATTAGAAAGAGAAAAAGAGAAATATTATGCTCACAACGCGTGGACGTAGGTTCCGTCGGTAAATTTAACTTCTTGAACCTCAAATAATATTCATTTAGTCTGTCAAAGTTGTCCATATTACTCTTCTCTTGCGGTTTTGTAGTGCCGAGGCTTTCAGCTAAAGATGCCATCTCGTTAATACCGACGTTAAAAAATATCGGCGTTACGTTGAAGGACAACGTCTGCCTGGACGAGGGCACTAACGGCAGGAGAGAATAGATTGCGTCCGGAACTGGGAGTATCACCGTCAGAGCGTTCCGTGATCCTACTACGCGCGGTAGAGGCAGCTGGAATGCCATATTAGACTTTCCTTCGACTCTGCGAAATGACGTTTACGTTTTTCTTGATGCAATATGATTGAGAGACATGGTAAAGGCCTCGCGTAGAGTGTATAATTATTCGCTTACCTCGGTTGAATGCCACATCGAGACAGAGTGAACGTGACAGTGTGCGTATCTTCGACTGCTACAGCCATATCACCCCACATATCAATTTCGTCTCCGTAATAACTAAGAAGGCCCTCGAAAGAGACCAATGGTCCCAAAGTTGTAAGTATCAGTAGAAACATCGGATCAGGTCGTTGACACCACAGTTTCGCCATTATGCCGGTTACTAAGGCCGTCAACTGAAATGTTTCATAATTTCAGATTTTCTCGTCATAGAACTTTTCATTCAGATCTTCGCTAAAATAACATTAAGGATAAGCCACTCACCGCTTGACTGAAGCAAACGTCCCGTCTATAACGGACATTGCACGCGCGCTGCGCCGCCTTGGAATCCTCCTGCACACGAAACACCGAATGTGTCAATCTGGCGGTTTTGAGCAGTCCGTCCATGGCCTGCCGTAGCTTCTTCATGCTTGGTCTGAGCTCGCTTGTCCAATCCACAATGGATGCAAAGTCCAGGCCTTCGGTGAACTTATTCTTTTGTCCCGAATTACTTTTGATCACTTGTGTCATCGAGTCGACCGCTTGGCACACTTCATTGGAAGACGAGTTACAATAAGTATCTGTTACCCCTGACGAATTACATTACGCGTTTTTACTACGTTCTCTCTTTAAAAATGATCTTTTATGCCGTAGAACAAAGAAGTCTCTCTTACCTTCTTTTGCCTTGGAGAACGCCGGTTTCTCCATTCCCGGACTGGAATGTTGCCACGACGTGTCGTTCGTTTCTTCCAGCAATTTGTTTGACTCCTCGCACTTGATACCGTTTTTTGGCTGTATGGTAACGACTTCGGCGTTATGCCGATTGCTCGGCAGGCAACTCTTGAGACTTTGCGATCTGCTCAGGCTACTACCCTTATTACGCAGTCGTACAGCCGGACTACTGCATCTGCCACAAAGAAACTTTACCTTCGATACGAGACACATGACGCTGGCCTCGATGTTCAATTGAGTGAGATCCCATGGCTCTGGCTCATCCGTGGGCTTGTAGTAATTTGCCGATGGCGAGTTGCACATCTTCTGAGTGTCAAGAAAACGTTTGCATAAATCGGCGTCGTTTCTTAAATCTTCTCTCTCGTCTTCGTAGTTCTCCTTTCTGTCGTAGTCTTGAGATCGCGGAACGTTCTGATCTCCTGTTTCCGCTTCCGTCTGTTTCGGATCGTCTTCCACCTCCGGGAATATCACGAAATTTTCCTCTACAGCATCACCGCCCTCGTCGACGTTACTGTTGGCCATATCGTTTCTCGTGTACGATAACGGAGCATACTCACCGTTTCTCATGCCACTCTTGGACCAAATGTCCTGTACGCACTCGGGAGTGTCGGGTGTGATGAAATCGTCAAAGTCGGGACTTTTCAAATCGAAATTCAACTGTTGTGTAATTCGTTTGAACGGCGATAGAGATTGGTTTGTCTTAAATTCCAACGTCAAAGTGTCGTCTGTAGTCGTTGACGCCGACTCTTGGACTTTTGCGACTTTATATTCTTCCAGAAATGTTAATGCTTCCTCCACTAATCCAGGATCCCACAGACTGAGTAAAATTCGAGTCTTCGTAATCATATCCTCACATATCGGTAACATACCGCTCGTTTGCTTCTCTTTAGCGAGCTTCATTAGTGATCTCATTGCTTCTACGACGTCTCGGCGCAGTTGCTTGATCGCTTGAATCGCATCGTGTGCCATCATTATCTTAGATGTTCCTTGATACAGCTGATTACCCCGTATCGGCGATTCTTTCAACGCCTGCACCAATCTACATATAAAAAAAAATATATTTTACTATGAAAGTTATTTAGACGATCAATCTTATGTGCTAACATTACACAGTATACCTTATCAGTCCGCCGTTTTTACTTTTGTGAGAATGCGCGGTGAAAGCTCCTACGCTAATAAAGTCGTAAAATCCACATTTGTTCAGCGTATCGTTGTGAACCCACATTCTTTGAAGGTGTAAATTGAGAGGTGCGAATTCAAGAGTACGATCGTTCTTTCGTGATGATTGCTTAAAATAACTTCCTGAAATACGAGTTGTCAAACGGACATGTAAAGCTGCTGATAGTAACAGCATAATTATTTAGAGATATTCAATTTATTTAGAGATATTCTAGAAATTTTGTATCTTCTCTCTTTACATATCTTTTACATGCACACGCACACGCATACATGCACATATACACCATATTCTACAAGAAAACTAGTTTTATAATAAAATGATTTTTATAGTAAAACTGTTATTTTACTATAAAATAAATATACATATTGAGATATACATTTATACCTTTATAGGCAGCTAAATTTTCTTTGGCTTGAGAATACAAATGTAGCAAGTGAAGATGGCGATCAAGCAATTCAACTTGCTTCGTGTGCCAAGGTTCTCTTAGCTCTCCCATTCCAGCTACCTCCTGTAACAGCTCCTTTTCTTCCTGTATCCAGATACCTCTACAATTTACACGTCACATTTCACTTCAGTGCTTTCATTTCGACACACTTTCATCACTTATAACACAAAACTAATGAATATTATATATTCTTACAATAGGTGTTGAGGAAATTGAAAGCACAACTTGCTCTCAGCCATAATCTCGTGTACGCATATATCACCGCCTAATCCGGAATGGAACCTATAAAATTTAAATCAAAAGACGTTCATAGTGATACGCCAAGAAATTCAAGAGGTTAACATAAGAAACTTTGAATTGAGAAACTGTTGTTGATGTATAAACTTACCGGTAAGTCTGTACATATGGATTCGCAAAGAGCAATTTTAACTGGCCTTGATGCGGGAACTTTATTTTTGTCCCTAATCTGGGAGGTAACGACTGTGAGCGCCTGTGCGAAGGCAACTGAAAAATATTACATAAAAATAAATCGATAAGGATTAATTTTAACGACCACGATATTGAATTAAGTGATTACTTGTTGTTGGTTGTTATTGCCATATATTGCATTTCTCGACGGCGTGCTCTCTGTGCTATTTCCTTTGTCCTCGGCTTCCAGATTCCACACGTTGATCGTTAAGAATCCGACAGTTGTTGTTTTTGCTGATTTTAATGGTATCCTTAATCTAAGACCAGAATAAAGTAAGAAAATGTCGGTAGATAAAATATCTAATAGTTGTCTACGTGCACTTGTAGTGCCGGTCAGTTTTCGGCACTCTTGCTCAGATCTTATCAAATATTAAGATGTATGAAAGAAGATTTATTAGTTATTTATTAAATATTTATCTATTATTTAATTGTAACGCTCTTGTGTTGCGCGCGGGATAGACTTCGGTACGGTCCAAGGTTAGGCTCAGTAAATTTGAAGCAGTGGTATAGGTATTAATAAGTATAAACTGTATTCTAAAATAAACGCTATTTACAACTATATTCAAGTATAGCGACGCTGTTGGTGTGTGGTCGGGTTTTGGCTTACGTTGTGAGTCTAAGTTTACGTCGTGATGACAGTTGCGTGCGCCCAAGCCGCGAGCGGTTCGCGGGACGCGGTCGGTGTTGTTTCGCGTTCTTCTATCGCACACTTCGCGAGTTTGTGTACTCAGCGGGATTTAAACGTTGTTGATACCGACTTTTAATCTAGCCGGTTTCGGAACGGTTGTTGCAATTCGCTTCGCGACCGGTATACGCTGTATGCGTTATGCAGTGACGGAGCGGTTCGCTCGCGCTATGATGCGCTAGCGTCGGTTACGCGTATTCCAGAGCGCTCTGATGTGTCTCATCGACGTCGGAGATCTCGATCGCGTATTCTGCGCTTTCGCGGTATAAGTAAACGGATCGACGGGGACGGTCTAGGAAGCGAATGTCAACGTCGCGTATCCAACTCGGTCGACGGAACGGTCTAAGAAGCGAATGTCAACGTCGCGTATCCAACTCGGTCGACGGGAATGGTCTAGGGAGCGGTGTCGACGTTGCGTATCCAACTCGGTCGACGGAACGGTCTAAGAAGCGGATGTCAACGTCACGTATTCAACTCGGTCGACGGGAACGGTCTAGGAAGCGATGGCGACGTCGCGTATCCAACTTGGTCGACGGAAACAGTTTAGGAAGCGGTGAGGTCTAGAAGTTCGCAACGAGTTCTGGTCGGTTGAGTGTCTCAGCGGAACTCTCCGACGGATCTCTCTTTTTGCCGTTTTCGCATCCGCTTTTATACGCGAAATTCGGAAACAGCTTTGCTGTTTTTGTTTTCACGGATGTTCGGCTCTTTGCTTCGCAGATGTTCGGCTCTTTGCTTCGCGGATGTTCGGCTCTTTGCTTCGCGGATGTTCGGCGCTTTGTCTCGCGGTTCTTCGGCGTAAACGATTTAGTGTCTAATCATCGTGACGATCCGTTGTTTTTCGCATTCATGTTTGTTCGGATCGTTACATAATATTTATTTTTAAATCTCCATACACCTTAATATTTGATTAAATTTATACAAAATTATTGAAAATAGGCAAAATATCGACTAACACTGGACATTTTCCTCTATGTTAACGCTCCTAATGTTTTCCTCTATATTAATACTCCTAGTCCTTCGCTACAGTCATTTTGATTTGTGACATTAGAAGTAAAGATATATGCTCAAAATTCCTTCCAATCTAGAATTTATGTCGAAATGAAAAATATCTCGTAATGAAAAGATATACGCAGTACGTCGAAATGAAAAGATATATCCAGAAAATCACACCTTGTAATCGATTAAGTAAACCTTGAATACTCCGAATACTTTCTTTTTGCTTTAATGATTAATAGATAATCGCATAATGAATATAATGAAATAATGAGGAAATGTGGTTTAAAAATTAAGGTTATATTATATTAATTTTACCGTTATTTATCGATAATTAAAGCAAAAGGAAAGTATTTGGAATATTTTAGAGATGTGCTTAATCGATTCCAAGTATCATTTTTTTAAATACATCTTCAATCAATCAAAAGTTTTATAGTAAGAAATCACAGGAGCCTTAATTTTATGCATAATTTAACCTTTAGGCTGCCGGTATTTTTTAAAAAAGTGTTTTTTTTCTCAAAAATTTTTCTATATAAGTAACATACACATATACATATTCTATATAACATACACATTTTAAGATTTGTGCAATGCAGAATTTTGAAATTTGTACAAAACCATAAAAGTGGCTTTCCCGTCAGTCTGAAGGTTAATATTTGATATAATTATTTGCTTTATTTAAATTTTAAATTCGTTCATTAAATAAATGTTCATAAATGCTTTCATATTGAAAGAAAAAAGTGGAATGGGAGAAAAGAAGATTATGACATTTTTTTGAAGTCTTTCAATTTAAAAAGAAAATGTATGTGTACGCGCGCGCTTGTGTGTGTATATATGTATACGTGCGTGCATGTGCATGCATGTGCGTGTAAAAGTTAGAATTTAAATTAATGAGAATTTTAGATTCCTTTATAGGATTTCCTTTTAACAAAGTTGGTATTACCTTGGGGTGTCCTGCACCGTGCTAAACGTCACTATCGCACTTCCTATCGGAGTTGCGGTTTGGCTAACTCTTTCCCTAATGTCATACGCAGTTATTCTAATTTTTGTTTCGGTCGTCAAGCCATCGCTCGCTCGGAAACTCACCGTAGTTAAGAAACTGGGATTACTACTCCGCTGAAACGATAAACAAGAGACCGTTTATGCAATTGTGAAATTTGGAAAAGAAAACCGAGGATTTTCTGCAGTTACCTCCACGACTTCTGTCCGTGCATACTTAATCCAAGTTTTGGAAGATTTTGACTGTACATCTATCTCTAAAACGGGTGTAGGTGGTCGACCGTGTCCGTCGCATAGCAGATTGTCGCAGGCTAACGATATTTCGCACATCGGTACCTCCGCTGGATCTGAGAAAACAAATTTAATATGAAACGCAGTGATTTTGTACTACAATTAAACCATTACAAAATTTAATATGTTATGGGATTTGAATTGAACAGCAAAGTGATATTCTACAAACTAAAGGTCTGCACGTTATTACAATTTTAAAAATCGCACATCTGTAGGAGCGAAAAAATATCCCATCTTAAAAGTTCTAATATTTGTACAACCTGTAAAAGTCCCGCGCTGCAACCGTAACATCTGAATATCGGTATCGTGCTTGTGACCACTGAACGCCTCTATGCGCTGCCGCAATGACAGCAATTGGCTCCGCATGCACTCGTAGCTGGCTAACTGCAGCGCCTGCAACCAACTGTCCCTTTCCTCGGCCGTGTTGGCGCCTAACTGTTGAAACAAGCCTCCGTCGAAAACTGCAACATTTTACCGTCTGTGCTTCTGACGTCGCGCTCGCACGCTACGTGAACCCGGCAGGCATACACATGCAGATATACGATGATAACAATAACAATGACAATGTTAGCGATGCATCGTCGATATATCGAGGAAAAGAACAGAAAGAAAATAAGAAGAGACGGCCTAATGATACGTATGATATGATACTTGCCTATACTGAATCCGTAAGGAACGTGATTGCTGGGCGGCTCCACGCGGACCGTACACTGCTCCAGTATGATCACCCCCAATGGCTCCGACCACTGCTCCCGCGATTTGAAATAAAACAAAAGGTTGCCGCGTAGCCTGCACCATCGTTCGAGACTTACTGTACAACAGAAATAAGGAAGAGTGATTTAGATACCAATGTATCATTCGCTGAAAGATTTTATCTTAAATATTTCACGTAGGCAATAGCGAAAGACAAAGGAAGAGACAAGGAGAAAGAAAAGGAGGAAGAAACAGAGAATGATATCTCGTGTTATTTAACTATTTCGCAACAAATGGCCATAATAATTGCCCATAAAACTGTTACTGTATACAAATATTAATATATAAGACAGAGTTGGGAAAGTTAATGTTTTTTTTAACTTACAAGTAACACTCACAAAATATTACATCTACCTTTAAAAATATATTTTTGAAAAATACTCGCCGAAACAAGTTCAACAATATATAACATTGTTATGCGAAATGAGAACATTAGTAAAAAATCGGGAGTAAAAATTTAACCAATAATGAAATTAATAACTACTTATAAATATATAAATTTTGCGCTGTTGACATATTTCAAAGATATATGTTTTTGAAAACCATTTATTGAGACAGATTTAATGATATATGTCATTATCGCCCGAACGTCACGTAAGCCAAAATCGGGTTGGCTAAATTAAGAATTTTTAATGTTATATCATTGAACATGTTACGCTAAGTACTTTTCAAAAATATATTTTTGAAAAATAAACGTAACATTTCGTGAGCATCTCTAGTAAGTTAAGTTTAAAATTAATGGTTTATAATATCAACTTAGAATTAAGTTAAAAGATGCATAAACAAAAACTAACCTAATTAAAAGTTAAGTTAAAATTAATTTATTAAAGTTAAGAGTTAATCCTTCGCGCGCGTATAGTGTTGAATCTATAACATCCGAACAAATATTCAGTCGCGTCAACTTTTATAAAAGATAAGGAATATTTCAAAATAGCACATATCTATGTGCAGAAAGAAAGAAAGAGAGAGACATTTTGAGTTTATCGCAGCTATTTATTTATCTTAAAGCTAAGTCTTTTCAATATATACAGGGTGTCTCATTTTAATCGATCACCTCAAATATCTCTTAAACAGTGCATTTTAGGGAAAAATATTTCAGATAAAAGTTTTGGGATTTCGAGGGGTACATAAGATGATATCATTGGTTTGACCTAGAATGGCGTCGTCAAGGTCAGGACAAGGTCAATTTGAATTTTTTTAATAAAAAAATCCTCCCATTTTTCATTACATATTCTTATAGCATACCTCGAGAGCTTTCCAAAACACTATAATAAAATATTTTTTCATTAGATATCTTTCGAATTAAAAGGCTTCAAAGTTACAATATTGTTACCATTAGCATTGATACCCAAGGTGTTCGACCGACGGCTAAAATCTTTTGAATATTGTTCAGGGCCATAACCTTGACAACATTTGTCAAGGTCAAGACGATTGGAGGCTGTTCCTAATATTTTCATTTCTTCAAATTTTACAGTGAAAACGAAAATAATAATACGATCTTGCTTTAGGTGGCTAGATTATCAATGACCTTGTTTTAAATGAATAGATCACCAATCAACGACTTTACCTCTAGTTTACAAGCTATTATATTGACATAAAAAACATTGTGACTTTCATATGACTTTTTGGGGTTAATCATTGGGGCCGCACATTTTACCTCATGATTTTAAATTATTATTTTCGTCTTCATTGTAAAATTTGAAGAAAATTAGTAACAGCCTCCAATCGCCTTGATAAATGTTATCAAGGTCATGGCCCTGAACAACATTCAAAAAGTTTCAGCCGTCGGTCGAACACCTTGGGTATCAATGCTAGTGACAACAATATTGTAACTTTGAAGCCGTTTAACTCGAAAGATACTTAATGAAAAAATATTTTATTATAGTGTCTTGGAAAGCTCTCGAAATATGCTATAAGAATATGTAATGAAAAATGGAAGTTTCCATTTAAGAAATTGAAGGTGACCTTCACGTGACTTTCAAACAACTATCTAGGGTTAAGCCAATTGCACCATTTTATGTCCCCTTCCGAACCATACAACTTTTGTTTGAAATATTTTTCCATATCTTCTATATTTTTCGAGATATTTGCCTGGTTCGATTAAAATGACTCACCCTGTGTGTGTGTGTGTGTGCGTGTGTGTGCGTGTGTGTGCGTGTGCGTGCGTGTGCGTGTGCGTGTGTGTGCGTGCGTGCGTGTGCGTGCGTGTGTGTGCGTGCGTGTGTGTGTGTGCGTGTGTGCGCGTGTGCGTGTGTGTGTGTGTGCGTGTGCGTGTGTGTGCGTGCGTGTGCGTGCGCGTGTGTGTGTGCGTGTGTGCATGTGTGTGTGTGTGTGTGTGTGTGTGTGTGTGTGTGT